GTATAATAAAATCACGAAGTTTAAATATGCCGCAACCAATGTTGAACTAATTCATACAGTATCATCAAAATAATTCTGTTCTTCTCTCCATTTTAACTGACAGATAAGTTGTTTACCTTTTTTCTAGACTAGCAAAGTTAACAAGTATGCAGAAACACAGATCCAAATTAGACTAAGCATTATGTTGTTCATGAAAACCAATTCATGCCCTTTTACAATACAGGTTAAAGAACTCAAGATCAACAACTATCATTAACAAAAGAAACTTACAAAGCTCCATAAATAAGAGCAGTAAAGATTTTGCATAATCAGCTTTGGACTTCCAGTAATCAGAGAGAAAAATACCTGAATACTCAGCTTCTTCTCGCGAGCAATAAGGACTAGTGCTCCCAAAAGCAAGCATATTCCATGGCCCCAATCTCCAAACATCACGGCAAAGAGAAAAGGAAATGTAACAACAGCGTATACTGATGGATTTGCTTCCTGGTACCTAGCAACCCTGTCAGCAGAAATTTGCAGCTCATGTCTTATCACTGAATAGTTCCATTTGAAGAGCCAAGCCAAAACTTCATGATAAAAGCCTCCCTAACCATAATCAGCTTAAGTAATCACGTAAGCTAATTCACAAAATAGAGCGCAGAGTGTTGCCTGGTTGCCGAGTCCCAGATCTCAATAAGACAACTAGTTTTGGCCCTAAAACTGCTATTTAGAATCGTGACTCTACCTACATACCTGATAATTCTTAATGAGGACACACATAAAACAAATGGAAACTATTGCAGCATAAAGACTTACCCATATGCAGAAATAATTTCATGAAAGCCATTGGTTAAGCAATTGGTTCTGAAATAAGTAGGAGGTGATTCTGTAGCTTCCATGACATGAAATATTATGCCGACTTGAGAACTGCTATCACATGTCGCACGTTGCAACACCTCCTGTATCTGATCAACCAAACAACGTATTTCTCAAGCGTCTGACACACTAACCTATCAACACAGTACAAGTGTTGATACTGTGTTAATATGTAAAAGAGCATACAATGTTCAATGTACACAAGAAAGAAATAAATACGGTACCTGAGGTTTTGCAAATAGAGGGCACCAACCCTCACCAACAAGACACTTTTTTGTCACATCAAAATTAAGCCTATTCAGTGTATCATACACAGCCTGCTCCATCCTGACCTAGAGAAAGTAAAGCACGCCCAATGATGCCCACAATCATTATGCATAAAAAGAATTTAAGCAACAATCGAAACATTGTTCACGGATATTTAATCCTACCATGTTCGTCCACTTTGTTAGATGCAATCCAATGGAAGCAAGGGCTTGATTTCTGTGTCGAATCCCAGCATCCAGAGTGGCTTCCAATTCAGAAAGACGAGTCACAACCTAGAACAAATGTGATAATATTTTCAGGAATCATGAAACACAAAAGAATCAAGAGCCCCTGAGTCCCACAAATAGTAGCAAAATTCGCGTGAAACTAGGAGCAGCAATGGCAAATAACTTACCTCCCTAGTTAATTGCCTTTGCTTAGTTATATCCTCAGGAATAGGGTAGCAATTAGCCCCAAATGCTTCACAAATTTTTATGATCTTTGTTCTTGCCTGTTCACCCGAGAAAAAGACTACAAATACTGTTTTCTCAACCTACAATTATAACCTGACAAGTATCAGTATTCCCAACAGTTTCGATGGACACACATGAGGGGAAGATGGCATAATAACAAGAAGCTCAATAACATTTAAATCCTGACAAGATCTACTGTAGTTCAAAGGCAATACTAAAAACTTTAAGACGCTATAGAGAAGCAAGAAACCATTTCATTCGAAGTAGGATCCAGAATCTCCTCATCTGCCAGAGTTTGATTGAAGAGCATATTTCCCCTAGTAGCACGGAATAACATCCGCTCAAATCTTAAGACTTTGGATCTAGGTATAATTCCACTGATAAATCTCACAGTGGATTGAATTGATGACCCAGACCTCATTTCCTGAAAAGTGGATGAAAAATCATAATTGACCGGTATTCAATCAATCCAAAACAAACACAATGGTAAAAGGATCTAACTAAAAAACCTGTTCAAGCAACGAGGATGATTCACCAAAATCACCGTTGGAGTACACATTCTCGTCTAACTCAGTCTCATCAGTAACTGCATGACTATTATGTGATACAAGAAAGCCAACTGCCTGAAATTGACCCACAAGAAAGCATGTGAAACGATCAAGTATTGGTATCTTCCACAAAAGTGCATTTTCGTACTTTTGTGACGAAGAAAAATGCATAACTATTTAAATATTATGGAGCAGTAATGGGCATGCTAATACAAATATTAAGTCGTAATGTCCAAAAACACACCGCAGAATATTCTATAACACAAGTAGCACTGAGAACCCAAGACTCCTGGTCATTAGTAGAAGTGCACCATACTTGGTCAAAACTGGTCTACATGAGCCTAGAACCAAGGGCCAAAGAAAGAGAAGCTAGAAGAGTGAAATATAACATTCAAAAACTATGGGCAATGATGCCTAGTTTTTACCTTCTGCAAAACTATCTTGAATTCTAAGAGTTCATTGTACGACTGCTGAAGTTTCTCACCGTTCGAGTTCATCTCAATTAGCTCGTGTTCATGTTCGGCAAGTTGTACCTGATATTGGCACAAGTGTATAGAAACAAATGATTGTCAGTGAACAATCCTAGTTGAGGTGGACATGAAGCCTATATGAACATGACTGCACATGCAAGGGGATATTAGACCTATTGTTTCTGAGCAAGAAAAAGGTTCAGTGCACCTCTAATTCCTCCAGCTCAATATCAGGTTCCAGCGTAGAATGAGCAGAAGACAATAGACCAGCTTTTTGTATTTGTTCTTTGAAAAACCGCAGCTTCCTTGACATTTCTCCACACCTCTTGACCTATGAAAAATACTCCTATTACTCATCGTTATTGCAAAAAAAAAAATCCAATTCAACATTTTCACTAGACGGTTAATGCAGAAGGGGTCAAATAAAACACACAAAGATGCACCCATCCATACCAGGTACTTGCACTACTTAGAAAGTAGAACAGCTACTCGGATAGTACAACATGGAAGATTAAGATCGCACAAGAAGAAGAATATCCCATCCACTATACACTCATATCGACGTGACAGGATTTTGCTTCTCAATTCAGATTGCTTAATTGGTAGTTGTCACGAGAAATTCGACGCATCTGAACAGTTGTGAATGCAGTATCTGTTCTTTCTGGCATTGAGAATGATACCTGATTGACAAATGTTCGCTGGAAAGGACTTTTATCACCATTCATCTGCCAAGGAAAGAAAAATAAGATTAAGCATTAGAAAGATGATGCCAAATCTTTTACCATTATCTGCTCTCTGCTGCACTCAAATTAAAATTATTTGAGAAACCAGGTTGCAGCTCACAGGAAAAAAAGAAAATTTCCCGGCAAGTCTTTCTAATGGAATAGTATAGTGATGAACTGATGATGGAGGCTCAGAACACTGTGTTTCTAACTGGCATCATTGTTCCGAAAAATCCAATGATCTAGCAACTAAGAATGTTTAGCTTGCTGTATGCCTGTTATTTTCTAACGTCACACTTCAAAACTGGGACCATTGAACAGAACAACACAGCACGCCTTTATCTTCAGTACCAGAATCCAAGTTTCCAACACTCTCCATCTACAGACCTCTCCGTTCGTTAAACTCAACTGAGCGAATCCAATTCCTCAACTATAGAATAAGGTCAACGTCTGTGACGTGTGTATCTCCTCCGTTTGTTATCAAATGCCTCCATGCCTACTATCCTATCAAACAGAATCATCTTACACTTCAACACTGCTAACTCCAAATGGGAGAACAATACTTCAATCGCTGCAATTCCACTTCAAACCTAAATTATTCCCAGTCCACAGGATATACAGGAGAACGACAAAAGCCAATACCACAATGTAACCTTTCCAGGATCCGGCGGGAGTAATTTTTTTTCCTCTTTCTTTACGGAAAGAGCGATAGAGCAGAAACAGAAGCTGATCTTGTAAAAAAAGAAGGAAGGAGACGGGAAGGAAATGCGGTAAAAACTCACGTCACGGAATTGGAGGAGGCCGAGTTCGCCGAGGTAGGAGATGGCGCGGTGGGCGGACTCGACGGGGATAATGAGTTGAACGAAGGTCATCCTCTCGGAGCGCATGAGATCCATGGGTGGGAGATTGTCGATGAAGTGGTCCATCTTCTGGAGAGCCATGGTTGCTGACTGCGAATAAGTGCGAGCGAGAAAGGCTTCCTCTTCTCTCCCCCCCGCCCTTCTCTCTCGCTGCCTTCACTCCTTCTCCGAGGTTACCATACGTTGGAGCAGGAAGGGAATGCGCTGGTTGGACGGATCTGTATATTACAAAGGGCAAAGTGAATTGGAAGTAACAAAGGTCTCAGATCTGGGGATACAATGAAGCATTTTTTCTTTGTTTGCCTCCTGCAGTGGCAAGTGAGTGTGAGAGGGAGAGTGCGTTTTTCAGGTGATGTGTTTGCGTTCTGTTTCGGGTGATGCCCTGATCGCGCTTTGACTGCAGCCTAACCTTAACCTGCCAGGAAACGGGAAATTCGCTTCCAGTTTTCTTCCTTCTTTTTAGTTTTTACATTTTCTTTTTCCTGTTAATTCTCTACAAAGAGTCAAAAGTCAACTCGTAATAACTCATCCATTCTTGTAAAACAGCATTGGAGGTTGTAACCAAAAATTAAGTGATAGGGTATTTTATGTTGGAATCTTGGTTCAACGGTTTCATACAGGCTACTAGTTTAGTTACTGATAGAAGGTTTTTCTTATCAAACTACTAATACTGACATACGGTCCAATTTTTTAATTCTTGAATAAAATTTGGAAGGAAATACTCACCTTAATTTATTCGGGGAAAATGATTTTCATATTTCCCCACGCAATAGGCCTACATGTTCTTTCTTTTTTCTAAATGATTTGAAGCTAGGTGATTTTCATTATGCTATGAATATTATTATTAAAAAAATATTCATCTATCGGTTATGAAGTAGATTCAAGTTCATAGTATTTTTTTTCCAAGTATTGACATGGGAAAAGATAGTTAGAAACTTCTACCTGAAACCCACCAAAAGCAATACTTAGTGAAGCCACTCTAGAAAATAAAAGTAAGCTAACTCTGATGAGGACAGTAACAGAGCTTACGTGCCACTCTATAGGCAGCCCAGTTGGCAGTCTGCGGAACCGCCTTGAAAACTATACAAAGAGGACATAACTCCAGAAACTGACGACACTCTCAAAGCAGGGTACCACCCAACGAATCTTCCACTAGCTCCGACCGATGATGATGATGGTGGTGGTGGTGGTGGGGGTGCAGGATGACGACGACGGCGCTGGCGTGGCTAGGAAGCTAGCTGAGGAGGCAGCTCCGGTGCATTGGCTCCTCCGGTCCCTGCTCCACATGTGGCCTCAAGACAGTTGAAGGGCAGAACCTGTCAAGGCACACAACTCCTCGTTCCTCCTTCACAAGCTTCATGTTGTGAAGCATCTCAAATGGGAAGGACTCTATCTGGATAATGATCGAGCAACTCGAAGTGTCTGGCAAGTCTCCTATGATGCCCTCCAAGTGCATCGTGTAAACTCGTATACACCACTGAACCGAGATGGAGGGATGTTGTGGGTCGGGTCATAAAATCGAGGGCCATCAATCCTATGTTAGTGACCATGTGTCGGACTGCAGACTAGGGATCACTAAGTGGGTGAGCAGCGTGTGCAGGATCCTCCACGAGGTTCGGAGCTTGACCACATTGGTGTTCGATGCAAGGAACTGGTGGCCCTGGTGCTCCTAGAGGCAGATAGCCCGGTATGCCTTCTGATATATGAAGTCTCTGGCATACTCCCTCTTCAACATGGTCATAACAGTGTTGTCGAGGCCCGTGGCCTGATCAAAACTGTCATAGTTCATGACGTTGTGATGTCTCCCGAGCATAAACTCCACGTATGGCTGGTTGCGCTTGCTGGTGGGAACCTCATGAATGAAAGTGGAGTAGAACTCCACACATAGCTCTCTATAGTAGAGCTCGTCGATGAACAAGAGGTTGTGCCACTGGGGATGGATGAGCACCCCGGACATCTTAGCTCGACATCGGAACATGGTAAACATGTCCATATCCAGGAACCAGTATTGTATCACTATTGCTCGAACTCATTCTTGTACTTCTCGTGGTTCACCAAGTAGTGAAGGTACGGGTGGTTTGCATCAACCATCCTGCAAAAACAACAAAAACCATACACCATACATAGAAACATTCATAAATTACAATTCATCAGGGAGAAAAGGAATTCCCTCACACCTAGGATTCCACTACAGATATATGCCTTGAAAGGCTTTTCGCAAGATTGGTTATCAAACGATTAAGCTCATTACACACAAGACACATCGAGACATGATTCTAGGTGATTCATAATTCATCAAAAGTTGCACTTACGAACCTAGAACGTGCCTCAATGGTCACCAACCATCATGCACAATAGTGGACCAAATATTCATTCACAAAATGCACTTGGTGGGCATTTTCCAATTCAAACACAAATTATACCAAATCTTGCCCACCAATGCTCAATCAACTCCGCAATCACTTCATGCATCATTCAATCATCATAAATCGACTAACCCCCAATTTCAAGATTCATGCAAAAATATACCCCATTCTCCTCACCTAAGAACTCTAACCCAGTTCTCCAAAATTAACAAAGGGAAAGGTCGAAACTGACCTGGAGACACAATTAGGGACGATGAGAAAGGCGAGGAGATGGTGTGTAACATCCCAGCCTAAAACTTATGGGCTGGACCAATGGCTTACCCGCATAGCGGAATCTCTACCGAGGGTTACGCTAAAACTCAACTCTTTACCGCTGGTAACACATACCAGCATCGTTTTAATCCAACATCCACAGCAATCAATTCTCAAATTACTCATTGTATACCAAATATCAACTTGATCTATTTCATTTGTTTCATTTAAACCAAAAGAGAGTGTTCATTCACTACTATGCTCAATACGGTGTCATCCACTACGCATACCCAATCATCAACTCATATAACATAAATGAGAATCATTTCAAAATTTTAGAAAACTTCAAAACCAATCCTCCATCGATCATTGTGCAATACCAGAGTTTCTCTCAATTCCTTTGGGGACTGTAAGAAACTGAACAGAAGTGGGTCAGCTACTAAGCTGGTGCGTGGACCTTTCCCACGACCTAGTTTTGGGACCACAATCAGCTACTCATGTAGTCATATTCAATTGCAATTCAGTAGTCTAGATTTCATCCTAGGCCATCATATATGAATCATCAATCAATATATCAAATCCATCAACTCATCATCATCGAGCCAATTTAACCAATATGATAATCACACAGTTTCACGAACACACAAACAATGCATGATATAAAAATTCCAATAAATTATTAATGGCACCAAGGTTACCATAAACTTACCCGCACACGAGCAAATCATCATCATCCGTGGTGCTCATGCAACCACAATGCGTGCAGAAGCAAGCTAGATATACCCAAACTCATAATCATCTGGGGGTAAAATTGCATGCTCTTTCTACGTCTATGTGGATTATATGATCACGAATCAAAAAATTATCATTTCTCTCATCCATCATAAACAATCCGGCATCAATGCAGTCCCACTGATTAATCGGTCTGTGCATATCTCACGTTAAACATTTCATCGAATAAAATCAAATTAGGAATCAATGCCTTCCCATTGAGTTCCACGTTCAAATGAATCTCATGTTACTCATCTCATCATCATCTCAATCAATCCAGGAATCAGTGTCGTCCCACTGATTCCTGATCCATATAAATTTCACGTCGGTTATCAACTCCAATAAAATGCTTACTCCAAAAATCTCCCAAAAATACCAGAACATCTATTTATCATCCTAAAATAGGTTTGCCCAGTTTTTATCTTGTTCAACAACTCAAAACCATGAAAATATTATTACATCCGATCTTTACCGCAAATCTCGTACTAAGCTTGTTTTTACCATTTTAAATATTAAAACTACACCAACTACATAATTTATCATTTTAACATTAAAACCAATTTAACAAGCCATACTGGCCATTTTAAATTCATTAAAATCTTAAAGATAAATAAAATACATTTTTACTAATCTTTTCGTAAAATTCACCATCATGCAGTTTTTAACCCAAAATACATTTCCAGGTGCAATCTTTTGATCGATCTGCCCCAAAATAAATTTATGCTTACAAAATAACATTGATTAGTTTTAAAATCAACCAATCCAACTATCCAGTTTTTCGGTGAAACCTGTCAAATACTGATATTTATACCGTAAAATCCATAACACTCAAGAACAACCACCAAATCATCATCTCAACAAACCAGTCATCATCCACAGTAATTTGTCCATCCAAATACACCTGTCAAGCATAAATAATCGATGCAAAAATTAAGCTCCTCTTAATCCCCACACACCTTAATTTATCCGATTCCAAGTCGGGAATCAAGTTCTAAATTCCAGCGATTGACTCCTAAAAATACTCCTCGTTCCCAAGGTCTTGTAGGCGCAAAAAGTTTGTCGTTTGGAAGTCAAACGAAGAAATTGTGAGCCAATTACGATTAGTATAGAAAATTACTTAATGGTACCCTATATTTTCGAACCGTTAGAAACAGTTCCAGAGCGTGTAAATTGTTACAATTATACGTACAAACTTTCGAACCTCGTTTCTCCCTCGTTTGAGCTCGGAATTCGATTCCGTCAACTTCGTGATGCTCATGGAGACAAACTCTATGCATTGGTACCAAGATTTGGAATTATCGTCGCAGTTGATGATGTCGACGCGGACGTCGAGATTTATGAAAAGCCTCTGAGGAACCTCTTACAACCTTCAAAATCACTTTCTGACTTCATATATGAGTTTCTAGGGGTCCGATTGCCTAAACTCGAGCCTTTGACGGTTTCTTTTCCCCCTTTCTTTCTTCCCTCTCTTTCTTTAGTTTCCCTTCGGTTGTGAAAGTATTTATATGAAGAAGAAGATTTAGTAGATGGAGTTTTAACTGTTGTGCAACTCTCCCTTATTTCACTCCCTTACCTCCTTGCAGCCATAGTAAAGGCCTGAGGTGGCCTTTTGAGAAGCAGACTTGAAGAGAGGAAACCCAAGTTCCAAAGGATGGCGACTGCTTCCCTTGTTGCTACTGCGGACATGGAGGGAATGTTTTAAGACATAATAACATCACTTTTTTCAACACAAATGTTTGTAATTTACTGGTCCAGCGGTTGTCTTATGACCATAAAATCATGGATTCAAACCTTGCTGCAGACTACAATTGTTTTTTTTTACTATTTCTTTTCTTTTAATAACCAGTATTATGATTATTGCTTCTCGTTGTATCTTCTCCCGTCGATGTCATGCAAATTTCACGACATGCAAATTCTCTCAATCTCCCTAATAACCTGCTTAGGAAGAGAAAAGACACTCATCCAGTATTGAGTTATGTTATACAACACAGAGCTCACCAATTCAACCCTCCCTGCATACGTAAGAGACTTTGCTTTCCACCCTGTTATTAGAGCAATAAGCTTTCCAATTAGTAGTTTACAGGCCGCCACTGTCAACTTGCCTACAATTAGTGGTACACCTAAGTAACGTACAGGGAAATTTCCCAGCTGATATCCAAATCTATTGGCTCTAACAACCATCTCATCCTCTGCCATTCCACCAAAATATACCTCACATTTGCTTGGATTAGACTTCAGACTAGATAAACGATAAAATTCAGCTAACACAATCTGCATACTCTGTAAGCCACAGTTGGAGCCATCTGAGAACACCAGGAGGTCATCCGCGAAACATAAATGAGTTAGTCTAATCTTCTTACGCATTGGATGATAAGGAAAGTAGCCCCTCTCTGCTGCTCTATCTAGAAGACAAGTAAAAATTTCTATAGCAACCACAAACAAATATGAAGACATAGGATCTCCCTGTCTCAACCCTTGCTTAGAAGGAGAATAACCTACCAACCCTACATTGAAAGATATACTCAACATAGGCTCAGTCACACACATTTTAATCCAATCAGTGAACTCAGCTGGGATCCCCATTTCTTCAAGCACATTAAACAGAAAAAACCAGTTGACGGAGTCAAACGCTTTCATAAGATCAATTTTAAGCGTTGATCTATATGAAACATTCTTCCTTGCATATCTCATGAGCTAGTAATACATTTTCACCAATTAACCTGCCTCTAACAAATGCAGTCTGATTCTTGCTAATCCGTAAAGGAAGCAGAGCACTGAACCTCTTAACAATTATTTTTGACAAGCATTTATAGAGTGTATTGCAGCATGATATAGGCCTAAAATTTTTCATTTCCTCGGGATTTGGAATCTTTGGTATTAAAGCAAGAATAGTGGCATTTACCTCCTTAGGTATCTTCTTTGTAGCAAAACAATATTGTACTGCTTCCACAATATCAGCACCAACAGTCTCCCACGCATACTGAAAGAATCAAGCATTATAACCATCTGGCCCTGGACTCTTATCCCCCTTCATTCCAAATATAGCTTCTTTAACCTCAGCTTCTGTGATAGGAGCACATAATGAAGCAGTTTGCAAATGAGTTATTGTCTGCTTAAGGATAGACTTAAAAAACTCTACAGTGCCACCCTCAACCTTACTCAACCTCAGTATTAACCTGTCCCAGTAATTTCTTATAAAAACTCACTGCCACCTCACACATATCCTCCACCCTAGTTACCCAGTCACCATTATCATATAGAAGGCTTGTGATAGTGTTCCTCTTCTGCCTCGTTCTCACAGATCTATGAAAGTAATTAGTGTTTGAATCACCTCCCTTCAGCCAAATTTCTCTCGAATTTTGCCTCAAGAAAGATTCCTCAACCTTCATTAATGTGTGCAATTCCCTAGCTAGTTTCACTTCCAACCCAGCCAAGTCAGGGGAAGGATCAACTAAAGTTAGTTCTTGGACTTCCTCCAGCTCACACTCCTTATCTTCAGCTCTTTGCCTTGTATCTGAGTATTCCTCTCTATTAAGAGCTTTGAGCAAACCTTTTAGTATACATAACTTCTTATAAACTCTGCCCATAGGAGACCCTGATACCTGCTGAGACCAAGCCTCTTCCAGCAACTCCCTAAATCTAGGATGCTCCAACCAGAAGTTAAAAAACTTAAAAGGTTTAGGCAATGATTTCAGAGGCACCTCTGTTTGAACCAGAACTGGGCAGTGATCCGAGACCCCAGGTTTTTGCATATGAACTGTACTCTCCTTAAAAACATCCAACTAGGCCAAATTGACAAACGCCCTATCCAAACGCCTAGCAATTGGATTTTTAACTTGTCTATTTAGCCACGTAAACCATGGACCAGTGGACTTGTGCTCCTCAACTTCCATTTCTATGAGCCATTCATTAAAATCAGCCATACTGGCAGAGTGTGCTGGATTGTTTGAACCCTCACTTGGTTTCCTAATTGCATTGTAATCCCCCATTAATATCCATGGCCTATGCTTCACCTTTAGCCCAACAATCTCCCTATACATCTCACGTCTTCCACCCTCTAGGTTAGAGGCGTAAATAAAGGTAGCAAAGAAAGGCATTGTATCTCCCACCATAACATGGACAAACTGCTCAGAGAATCCCAGAACTTGCAACTTAACATCCTTCCTCCAGATCAACCACAACTTTCCCAGACCACTGTCATTATAGAAAATCTTCAGCTACCAACCCACAAATCTCTTCTTCAACATCTTCTTCTCATTAGATAGCTTTACTCGAGGCTCTAATACTGCTACTATATCAATAGTGTACTTGTTTATTTTATTAAGTAATGTATTGTACTTACTATCTTCTACAAACCCTCTAGTATTCCATGATAATCTTCTCATTAACGATATCTACCCCTTCCTCCACTTCTACCCTTTTTCTTCTTAACCTCAGGAGGATCCATCCATATTTTCTTCCCCTTGTTTACTACACTAGGGACCTTATTCTCCTTATCAAGAACAGCAAACCGAGAGCCTGAAGGTACTTTAGCCCGAGCAGTGACCTGAGTTTTTAAACTCCCTTCCATAGAAGGTGATTTAAAGCTCTCGAACTGTTGCACAAGGGTGACAGGGTTCCCAGCAATAACTGATGACCCTTTCACAACCTCTGCAAAGCTTACTCGACCCCCCCCCCCCAGTTGGTAAAGGGGTGATAGACTTAGTAATAGTAGCCAAAGTCATCTCCTGAACAGGCTCTGAAGCCACCTCTTCCTCCAGGCTTGCAAAAATGCTTTGCAAGACTCTACCTTGCAATTCCCTTAAAAGTTCTTTCTCTTTCTCAACCTCGGTTACCACATCCCCCTCCTTTTGTACCTCAGTAATTACCTCAATCTCCTCAGCCTTCTTCTTCGGGATCCAAACACGCTCAGGATCCACTTCACAATTATGCCCAAACACATTACACTTTGGACAAACCTTAGGAAGATTGCTATATTCAATCCCAATATCAAAAGAAGGATCATCATCTGGATAAATTCGAATAAACGTAGGAAACGAGTAATCAGCTCCAAGTTCCACACAAGCACGCGTGAAACCCAGTTGCCCTCCCACCCTTGTCTTTTGATCCATCCAGAGGGGCTTCCCAATCATACTTGCAACCCATTCCAACCCTTCCAACGCCAAATACTCCAGAGGAAGTCCCCAAATTATAACCCAAATTGGCAGCGTTTCCACCTTCGGTACCACTGGCTGAATTCCCGATTTTCACTTTCGAAAGAAAACCGGATTACCTCAATAGTGCCAAGGACCCGACTGAAAGACCCAATCACACGAAGCAGAAGAAGGAAATTCAAACACCAAGATCTTCGCCCCAAACTTCGACACTCGAACACCGCCATCACGTCCCCAAAGCGCGTTGGCCCACTACTGAAGCTATGGTATCTTCGGACGAGAACCGACGAACTGCCCGATTAAAGAATTCTTCCACCGCTCCGCTCCCTTCTCCTTCACCTCTTTCGGAAGACGAAACCCGTCCTGAAATTTGATCGGGGGACGATACTGGAGTCGATTCTCCGGAGCGACCTCAAATAGCTGAGCCCAAGAGGAAGATCCCTCGCCAGCCGGAGCGGCCGATGGCGAGGCATCCATCGCAAACTCTAGAAATCAGGAGAGAAGTGGGAAAAAAAGGTAAATAAGAGGGAAGTTGTCATTATTGATGTATCCGACATGGAATCTCGATTGTATATTTTAAAAGAAATAATTTTTCCTTTTTTAAATGTATTCTATTTTATTTC